AGGAGGAGGAGCAGGAGCAGGAGGAGGAGGAGGAGCAGGAGGAGGAGCAGGAGGAGGAGGAGCAGGAGGAGCAGGAGGAGGAGCAGGAGGAGGAGGAGCAGGAGGAGGAGGAGAAGGAGGAGGAGGAGGAGGAGAAGGAGGAGCAGGAGGAGGAGGAGGAGCAGGAGGAGGAGGAGGAGCAGGAGCAGGAGGAGGAGGAGCAGGAGGAGGAGGAGAAGGAGGAGCAGGAGGAGGAGGAGCAGGAGGAGGAGGAGCAGGAGGAGCAGGAGCAGGAGGAACAGGAACAGGAGGAGTCGGAGTCTGCTGCCCCCTCCTTGAGGCCAAGAGTAACTGGAGACTTCTTGAAGCAGAAGGGCATCATGTTCCACGAAGAAAACCAAAGCCCGCAGTAAACTGAGCTGAGAAGGGCCAGGGCCTCACCTTCAGAGCTGTGATATAAGTGGCTAGCAGGGTCCGTTGGCTCCAGGGCTACCTGTACACCACTCTAGAATGTCTTAACTTTTTGCTGAATACATACAAGTTCCCAGGATCTAGGATGTCTGATTATGTGACTGTGTGTGTCCTTATGTATTCCATCTTATCTTGAGATGGTTAATAAAGAATCGACTTCCTGACCTAGTGGGTCAGTTCTTAGGCCAAACAGACAGAGACCGGAGCCGAATTGGCCTTGCTTGCTCCCGTCACCCTCTGCCTGCCAGGGCATCATGCAGAGCCTGGGCTTTCACACACAGTCAAGGGCCATCTCTCCTGAGTTCCATAGGAGCTGCTGCAGACAGTGAAGCGGCTGCCACCTTGTGAGTTGGGCTGGGAGCAGAGCAGAGAGGGGAGGGCCGGGGAGCTGATCTTTGCAGCATAGGTTTAGGAAGGGATCATGTTGATTGTTCTTCTACTGTTTCCTCTGCTAACTAATTATTAAGATACATTTCCACCAGGGAAATGGTCAGCAACCAAGCATGTACCAGGTTGTACGTTCATTTTGAAAATTCTGAGGCCGCCAATGGGAAGAGCAGGCAGTGAACCGAGAATTTTCATGTGAATTTAATTTGCTCCCTTGTCTGTTGGGTGTCTGGGTGGTCACTTGCTGGCCTGACCAGGCCTACCTCTTTGTTTTGTTTCTATGTGCCAGGAATTTATTCTGATTTTGTTTTCATTTTCTTTATTTTTTCCCATATGCTCCATGCCCCTCCATTCCCTGGTATCACGCTCTCAGGAAAGAATGAGCTCATTCATTCTGTCTGATGTACTTTTGTAAGAAGGACATTGGGAAGCTTAGGTAGTGATACTGCCAGGATGCTTATTACTTACCGTGGAATAGAAGACCTTGCCTCCTTTGTGTGGAGGTGGAAACCAGGACCTAGATACACACCTGGTTTTGAATCACTGTCATGCTTTGCCTGGTTTTGAATCACTGCGAATCTGAGCACAGAACAGAGGGTGCACATAAAGACCGCCTTTCCAGGAGACACCAGGTCCTACCGAATTCACCTTGCTCCTCGTTCAGACTCTGGCTTTGGGGTGCCAGCTCACTGGGCTTTCTAAGACGAGAAGGCTGCATTATGTGATCCTAAGTTTCTGTGTAGACACGAGAGTCCGAGGATCAAGACAAGCCCTACGGGAACAGGCTGTGTAAACAGGTGACTGATGCCTACTAGGACGTGACCTTAGAGTACCAAGGATGCTTCCCTAAGGTGTTGAAAAGCCTAGCATACGGAGAATGAAAGGGCTTTGCATTTTAAATACATTTTGTGTACAGCTGACAGCGGGTGCCAGACTTGCCCCTTGTTTGAGACTACGGCATGAAGAGGAGTATGGGGCTGAGCTCGTGTGGATGGACCCAGGAGTAGGCGGAGAATCTTTGGGTTCATGAGGAGTGAAGATGCCTTGTTCAACTCTAGGCAGACGTGGAAGAGAAGATGCCAGCTTCTTCAGGCCTGGTGAACCAGTTCTCAGGCCATGCAGAGGGGATCTGCCTCAGAGGAAGACCAATCTGTGGAAACTGTGAGGCACTGCTCCAGGTTCTGAAAGGCCTGGGAGCAAGGCCTGGATCAACGGTTCTCAACCTGTGGGCTGTGACCCTCTTCGGTCACAGGGGTGGCTTGTGTCAGATATCCTGCACATCAGATATTTACCTTACTTCTCACAACAGTAGCAAAGTTACAGTTATGACAAAGCAAAGAAATAACGTTATGGTTGGGGCTCACCACGTGAGGAACTGTGTGAAAGGGTCGCAGCACTAGGAAGGTTGAGAACCACTGCCTTAGACACGCTAGGGGCTGTGCTGCCTGTGAGACGTTTAGTCTAGTGGGTGCTGTGCCACCTGGGTTTTTGGCTTAGCATTTCTTAGTGAGTCTGAATTTTGCTCGCTGTTAGTTTTTGAGTAGATGTGTGTGTGTGTGTGTGTGTGTGTGTGTGTGTGTGTGTGTGTGAGAATGGGAAAGGATTGAGATTTAAACTTAGTATGTTGGTGGGGTAGTGAGCAGAGATCACAACTTGGACAGTCTTTGTTGTTGTTGTTTTGTTTTCTGGGACAGGGTTTCTCTATAGTTTTGGAGCCTGTCCTGGAACTTGTAGACCAGACTGGTCTCAAACTCACAGAGATCCACCTGCCTCTGCCTCCTGAGTGCTGGGATTAAAGGCATGCGCCACTAACTCCTGGCTTAACTTGGACAGTCATATAGGAGGAGGCTAACACAGCCGCACGCACAGCACTGCCGACACCTCAGTGAGCTACGTGTCTGCTGAATGTGGGTCTTGGGGAATCTAGCTCGTCTCAGGACATCATCAGGGCCAGGCCAGGGCAGGCAGAGATTCCACATGACGCCATTATGAGGTCATAATTGCAAACCAGAACTCGGAGGTGATGGGCTAGTGCACGCATTTGCAAGATTCTTGGGGAAAATGAAGGATCCGGGACTTGGGATGCTGCAGTGACCTCTCCGAGGGCTCAGTGGTGACCCCTTTTGGCCAGTGGTGGCTTGATTGCTTCAGAGAGACAACAAGTGCCATTCTCTGGGTTTCATCTGTGGGCATGGAACTCAGTGACAGCTCTCTTGCTCGCCATTGTTCTGGTGACTTCTGAGGGACATTGAGACAAGAACCTCCCTTGTTTGTGGACATGGGCTTTCGAAATGACAAGCCGACTCTCTGTTGCCAAACAGTCTATACTGTATAATGTGAGGTGGGTGGGAGATACCGCTCTGAAGGAGGTAGGAAGTACAGACACTAACATGCTAGAGTCGGGGGTCCTAGCGTGGCTCTGTTGGCACTTTGTCCTTCACTTTTATACTGTGGCGGTTACACAGACTGAGGATTATTACTTGTATGATCTGTTCCAGGATAGGGACAGTGTGTCCTTCAGCAGGCCCAGGGATGTGTGTCTGGGAAGCATGTGACCTCCTTTTGCCTTCTCTCTCATTTTGGGTTTTACAGTGAGCATGTTTTCCACAAATGCAGAGCAGACATTTTACTACAATGAAGCATGCATAATTAAGCACCTTATTACTTTTATAGGATTATACTTCTGCAGCTGAAGAGGAGGCCTTCAGGGAAAACCGGCAAAGATGGGGACAGACTAGGGAGTGCCCGCGAAGCGTGGGCTTCTGCCTTTAGGTCCGCTTAGGATTCATTAGATGATGCTCAGTGGGGCCAGGCTGTGCTGAGTGTGAGACAGGGCCACACCCCTGGGAGTCAGTACTTGACAGGGACCCCAGCCTTATCGTTGTTGAGAATGATGGCCCTGGTTGTATTTTGCCCTCTGTTCTTTAAAATCAGATTTTGTTTTTGTCAAGAAAACAGTAGCTATGACCCCAGTGATAGAATTGTTTGCGAGGCAGGCAGGCAGGCAGGCAGGCAGGCAGGCAGGCAGGCAGGCAGGCAGGCAGGCAGGCACGCACGCACGCACGCACGCACGCACGCACGCACGCACGCACGCACGCACGCGAATGTTCCTGCTGCCGGGGCATGGGTGGGGGCTCTTGCAGTCTGCTTCTTTCAGTTGCTGCTTTTTTTTCTAATTAAGAACTTCGGCAGGGTGTGGTGGCACACACCTTTAACCCCAGCACTCAGGAGGCAGAGGCGGGCCATCTATGAGTTTGAGGCCAGCCTGGTCTATAGAGCAAGGTCCAAGATAGCCACTGTCTCAAAAAAAAAAAAATCCCCAAATACAAAAACAGAAAAAAGCCAGCAACAAGCAACAAAAAAGTAAAAAAGTGTGTGTCCTTTTTGTGTGTGCGCGCTAAGCGTGTGTGTGCATGTCTGTGTGACGACAGAGGTCACTTTGGGGCAGTCTTCCACTATCACTCTCTGCCTTTCTTTAACAATTAAATTTTATTTATTTATTTGTTTGTTTATTTAGTGTGCCTGTGTGTGTCCATGTGTGAGTGTGGCGGTCAGAGACAACTCGGGGGAGTTGGCTTTGTCCTACCAGGTGCATTCTGGGATCAAACTCAAGGGTGTCAGGTGCCATTATGTACTGAGCCATCTTACGGCTCTGTCTTATTTCTTGATACAGGGTTTCTCTCTGAACTTCCACCTTGTTGTTTTGGCTAAACTGGCTATGCAGAGAGCTCTGGGGATCAACCTGTCTCCGTCTCCCTCTGCTTGGAGTTTGCAGGCATGCACCACCACAGCTGGCTTTTATATGGGTTCTGGGGGCCCTCATGCTGCTACGGGCAAGCACTCTACCCACTGAGCTATTCTCTCCCTCAGTTCAGGTTCAGGATGTTTTTACTCGTCGATGTATTTTAGTACGTCTCTGTATAAAGTAGGGCAATCCCCACCCCCACCAATTTACCATCTAGCATGAGTCTTGGGAAATTTGGGATGGATATCATTATTGTTTTTTAATGTCAACTCAAGAGAAAGAGTTTAAATTTGCCACATGGAGTCATTGACATGTAACGGGGCTGAGGGTCTTGAGTAAGGATTAGTTGGTGAACTTGCCTTTGATTTTGGTGAAAACCTTGATGTTCTGGGATCTCTGGGCTTTAGATGAGTGGCCAATAGCCTACTTTGGAAAACCATTTGTGCTGGAACATGAACTTGGCTTCTTTGAGTGCAGGAATTCTGCTGCTTAGCAGACCACAGTTGACTTTGTTTTTAGGTTGCCTTGGTGTAACAAAGTGTCCCTTATCCCTTTGGAGTGGCCCCTGCCAGCCGTCACCTGCCAAGTGGTTCCCGTCTGGGTCAGTGTTCTGAGCTAGGAAATGAGGTCTGAGCAGCGGTTTACTCGCCTACCAGCCATGCCTCGCTCTGTACCTTGGGACACTGGGAAGCCAAGGACTCGGCCTAGTTCACTGTTTATTTATTAATTTTCCACTTGAAAGTGCATATTAAATGGTTTTTGACTGTTTCCTGTTGCTCGAGACTCTGCCGTGGAGTTTAATGCACACTGGAGAGACAGACCCTGCTCCTCTTAAGCTTATTGTACCAAAGCAAAGGAAAACAAGTTAGCTCAGGAACTGTCAGGCCTCCAGGGGTCACATGATCTTGACTGGTCTGGACCGGTGGCTGGAGGGAGGCTCTGGTCTGAGAAAGGACCTCTGTCACCACGGGAATGAAGACCAATTCCTGGAGCTGGTGGAGGCAGGAAGGAGGCAGCTCCCGAGGCTCCTGGACCCCAGACTTTAAGCGCTGCCATTGAATAATTCCCTCCCTGTTTAGGAAGTGCCTGGCTTGGGACAACATAGTGGGAATACATATTAGTACATTTCCTTTAATCTTGACCAAGAAGAAATTAGAGAATTCTGGAAATTTATGAAATTTCTTCTGGATTCTTTCATCTGTATAACTGGCATGGAAGCAGACGTGTGACAGATAGACTGTTTATCTTCCAGCCACAGCTGGTTGATCAGGGACTTTTCATACTCCGTTCCCAGGACGTCAGAATTAGATCAAGAAAGTAGCCTGGTTTCTTGTCTGATAGTGGAAGCAGGGGACAGTAGGGACGAGTTCCTGGGGGCATGCACTCGGATTTAGCATGAACAGCAGAGACAGGAGCACATGGGCTAAATCAGAGGGATAGGGTATTTTCTGGGACCCCCCTAGGAACTCCAGGCTCCTCTAGATCCTCCTAGAATCCGGTAAGTCCTTGGTTCTCTAACATGGTACTCCTTTCCTTGATTCCTGCTCATGCCAGCCGTGTTAGCGTCTCCCACCACTGAAAAATGTTTTCCCTGTGTGTGCAGATATCTGCAGCCATTCGTGATAATTCTGCCTCAGGTCTGTCTTCTGAGTTAGAGGCTCCCAAAGCTTGTGAATTTCACAGCAAGCCAGTTGTTGTCCAGTTGAGACTGAAGATGCCAACGGCCAGGAGAAGTCAAGCTCATCTCGTTTCCTGAGAATGGAAACATAGTGGAAAGAACTTGGCTGTGTAAGTGGGAACACCCTGCACACAGCCCTGGCTTTGCATGTGGAAACACAGTAGGAACTAGGTCCCGACCTCCGGCGCCTGCTCAGCTCTGTGTCTTTACAGCCCACAAAGGTCTGATCCTTCTAGAAGGTGGTGCAAGCCGCAAAGGGTGTTGTCTGCAGCCTGAAGTGTGGCTTCCTTAGGGCTTTGGCCTGTTTCATTCTCCTAACGCTGCTCAGCTGAGAGCAAGCACCTCCACAATTGGCAGGCTCCTCTTGCTGGACTGGTCTCAGTCTGCTAATTTGTGTGGATGTTCTTTGCCAATAGTAACCGAGCTTTGAGAAAGCCTAGCCTACAGATGGGCAAATGAGAGACCAGTCCACACTATTACCCAGTAAGTAGACCAGTTCTGTGGGTTTAGAACTATATTCAGACTTAATTTCAAATGAGTTACTGAGTCTTCTGATTTTCTTGTTTGTTTGTTTTGAAGCAGCATTCCAGGCTGGCACCAGCCTCACTATGTAGCCTCGGATGTCCCTAACTATCCTCCTCCCTCTGTCTCCCCCATGCTGTGTGTTAGGAAAGTCCCCTGCCAGTGTGGCCGTGTCGCATGCCTTGTCTCTGAGTCGCAGCTTCCAGTGGTAGAGTGTGTTAAGAGTACTTCCTGGGAATATGGCTCAGTACAGGATTAGTCACATGGTGAGACCTTAGGTCATAGCACGTGTTGTGGATACTGTTCTATCTAGACGTTATTGCAGCACCTAGAATTTGGTTAGTGCTGTGGCCTTTGCACTCTCTCTCCTCTACAGTATGTATCCGTATCTTGAGATCATCAGTGGTAGACACTGTCCCTGACTCTAGACATCAGGTTTTATAGACGGGGTGACAACCCAAAGGAATGGTAGTTTGTCCAGGTCAGGCCCTGTCTGGTGGAGCTGGGGTGCAGGCCCAGGCGCTGTCTTCCACCTTAGTGCTGTGCTGACTTCACTACCCTCACCTTGTGCAGAGGACTGCACCTCCCTGGATCGGCATGCAGGGGACACCTGGGGCTTGCAGAAGATGCAGTTAGAGGTTGTCACCAGCCGCCATACTTGTGAACATAGGAGGATTGGAAGGGCTCTATGTTTTCCCCAAGTCATGTTTTGTTCATGTTTGCTGTCCAAATCTCCTCATAACCAGAATGTAGTTTACTGTTTCCTCTTGCTAAGTGTGAATCTCTACAAGGAAGCTGAGTTTGTAATTGCTTTATGGACATTTTATCCCATCCAAAGACAAGAGGGGGTGGAGTGGCTTCAGTTTTGTTACCATAAAGGCACTGGGCTCTGGATATCATTAGGGACTATTTCAGACCCTGGTAATATTTTAGGAGAACAATGGTCAAACAGAAGTATGCATAAGAATAAGCAGTGTGGAAGAGGTTCTGAGGGCTGAGGTGTGTGAGGGATGGTGTAATGGTTAGTGTTGATAGCTTGACTGGTATGGGAGTCACCTAGGAGACACCTCTGGGCATGTCTGTAAGATAATTTATAGGTTAGGTTCATGGTGAGAAGGCCCAGTGGGAATTCTGTGTGACCATTCTGTGGACTGGGGTCCTAAACATAATCAAAAGGAGAACACAGACCCAACACCAAGAGTCTTCTCTCTCTGCTTCCAGATTTATGGATACAGTGTGACCAGATGTCTCAGGGCCCTGTACCGGGCCTTCCCCATGTGGTTAGACCACCAGGATAGTACCCTGGAACCGAGACCCAAAGATGAGCTCTTGCTTTTGGAAGCTGCTTTCCTCAGATAGTTTGCATAAACAGTAGCGAATGTAGCCCATGTGGTGGTTGAATAAAAATGGCCCCATGGGCCCACGGGGAGTGGCCCTGTTGGGAGGTGTGGTCTTGTTGGAGTTGGTGAGGCTTTGTTGGAGGAAGTGTGTCCTTGCGGGGGTGGTCTTTAATGCTTCAAGTGTTCAAGCCTGGCCCAGTGCCTGTCTGTCTGTCTGTCTCTCTCCTGCCTGCTGATCCAGACGTAGAGCTCTCCTTTCCTCTCCAGCACAAAGTCTGCCTGCACACTTCCTTGCTTCCCGCCATGACAACAGTAGACTAAACCACTGAACTGCAAGCAAGCCCCCAGCAAATGTTTTCCTTTACAAGAGTTGCTGTGGTCATGGTGCCTCTTCACAGCCACAGAGACCCTAACACGACAGATGGAGGAAGATAGGGTGCATTCGCCCTGGAAGAGAGAGGAAAGGAAAGCTTTCTTTAGTATTTAAAAGCTATTGGGGGTAAAAAATGTAGACATGGAGGGTCATGTTTTCGACTGTTTATTAAAGCATTTGGGTGAAACTTAAATAACTGGTTATAGTCATTAAGCTGATCAGTTAGGGAGTGCTCAGTGAACCCACAGTGCCAAGCACTAGGCTAACTGTGTCTAGCGATTGAGTCTCTATTTTATAGATGGTGAGAGTGGGATTCAAGCAAGGTTGGTGTGGATGCATGAACACTGCTTAAGCGTCAGGTGATCGGGACTCCAGCCTTGACGAGAAGGACACCATCGTTCTGTGCAAATGAGAGCACAAAGAGGAGTCGGTTCCAGGAACACTGGCTTGCTTTGTGTCCTGTTCTACCCAGTGTCTGACTACTGACAATATTAACACGTGACAGGATGCAGGGCCCTGCACTGGGTCCATAATACATGAGCCTGTCCCTGGCTGTTGATCACAGATATAGTCTAGGAAGGCTGGAGGGAGGAGAATGGCAGACCTGAGGGTAGAGGGTGGGAGCCTCAGTGTGGTTCAATTACCTGGGTGTGTCCAGAGTGATCTGCTGTTTCCGTGAAAATTGTAGCCTGCCCTTCCTTCCTTCCTTCCTTCCTTCCTTCCTTCCTTCCTTCCTTCCTTCCTTCCTTCCTTCCTTCCTTCCTTCCTTCCTTCCTTCCTTCCTTGTTCTGAATTCTGCTCTCCACAGCCCGTGGAGCCTGGTGGGATATAATGAGCTTTGTGGCGACAGGGGGCTTGGAAAGATCTCTGTGAGAAATAACCACCATTGCCTTGGGTTAGAGGCTGAGCTGTCGCAGTAACAAATGTCTTACATCAGCGGCTCACTGCGAACCCTTGCGTGGACTGTCAGTCTCCTTGGATCGTAGAGGAAGACAAGATTTAACCTCATCAGAAGATACTGAAGCTTGAGGAAATCGGAGGACATGCTCAAGGTCGCGGGAAGTTCTGCTCTCCCTGTGCGTTCTGGGGCTGGATAGGGTTGACTCAGGGCTCTCTGGCTCAGTCAGGGACATCACAGACAACAGGGTGTATTCTTCTTTGCAACAAACGGCTATCAGGTTGGGGCAGCAGGCCACTTAACTCCACAGTTCTAGAGGAAGGAGACTGAAGGGCTAGGGGCACTGGCTGCCTTGTGGAGGCCGTGGGGACCTGCTGCTTCTTTGCCTTGACTATCTTAGACCTGCATCACTCTGACTCCTGCCTCTTTTTCACCTGAATTCTCTTTCTTTGATGAACCTGCAATTACACTGCCCCTCCCCAACTCTTCCGTTGTCTTGGTAACATCCCAGGTCCAGATCCTTGTGATCTGCAGCTTGTCTTTAGCCACGAGTGCCATCACTCCAGGCTTTGGGGATTAGGATGCAGGCATGTGTGGGGCCGCTGTTTGCTCTGCTGCTGGAGCTGGTTCTAGGTTGAAGTCAGACAGCAACTCCCTCACTCTTCATCCTCCACCAGGATATTCCCCCTTCTCCGGGGTCTCCCCAGCACTGCCTGGCGCTCTGCTCTCTCTTACTGGCCCTGTTGATGCCAGCTATCCCGTGATGGCCTCCCACTCCCCTCTTGCCCCTGCCTTTTGTCCTCCGTGTGCCACACATTTGAAAATGTGGCTGGGATCTCCCCCACTCTGCCCCCAGGCTCTTCTTGAATGTGTTGCCTTGCTCAGAGGAAACAAACAAACAAACAAAAAAACCCCAGTTTCCTTCTGCAGGTCCCAGGCCTCACCAAGCCGCACACCGCAGCTGGCAGTCTGGTCCCAGATGGTCACAGCCCCGTTCTTCCCACTCCTGCCGCCACACCCGTCTTCCTGTTCATTCTGTTGTTCTTGTTGGTGTCTGCGTGCGGGTTCGCCTGTAGACATCAGACAGCCTCAGGTGCCAGTTCTCAGGGACTTCCTGTCTTTTGCTTGAGGTGGGGCCTCTCGTTGGTCTGTCTAGCTGGCCAGTGAGCATTGGGGAATCTGCCCATCTCTGCCTCTGCCTCCCATCACAGAGAGTGCAGGTGTATTGGACCAAACTCACTTTTCCCTTGAGCTCTGAACTTGCTCCCTCACACTGTGAGACAAATGCTTTGCTGACTGAGTTGTTTCCTCAGCCCCTGCTGTTCTTGACTATGCGTCCAGTGGTCTTCCTGGAGGCACTGGCATGGCTCTGTCCTTTCCTCACGCTCTCAACTTTACCCCTCATGGCCCCGTTCCCTGTCACCCTCCCCGCCCCGATACCATTACTTTGCCCTACTTTGCTTGTGTACCCAGGCGCATGATATGACACACATATGCTATATACATGTGCACCATCTGTCCCCCTCTGGGAAAGCCCAGCTCACAGGGTGTGGGGCAGCCTGGGATGATGCCGTGCAAGGCAAGAGCTCAGGAAACACAGAAGGAAGCCTTGGCTTCAGGTCTTGGCCTTGTGTTTCCCTGCCCTCCTCTCTGCTATGTGTCCTCTTCACAGGTGGGTAAAGAAAGCTGTGGTTTTGTAACATTAGCCAGTCCTTTAGATTTTTGACTCCTTTATAAGTATTGGGGAGAATGGGGCAAATATGGCCTGGATCTTCTGGGCAGGAAATAGGTGAATGGTTCCTTCCTTCCCTCACCAATGAAGGCCTTCCCACACCCGGCAAGGTATCATCTATATTGTTTTGGTTAATCCCCCCCCATTTTATTGATTTTATTGAGCTCTACATTTTCCTCTGCTCCCCTCCCTGTCTCTCCCCTCCCCTTCAACCCTCTCTCATGGTACCCATGTTTCCAATTTACTCAGAAAATCTTGTCTTTGTCTACTTCCCATGTAGATTAGATCCATGTATGTCTCTCTTATGGCACTCATTGTTGTCTAGGTTCTCTGGGATTGTGAATTGTAGGCTGTTTTTCTTTGCTTTATGTTTAAGAGCCACTTATAAGTGAGTACATGTGATATTTGTCTTTCTGGGCCACCTCACTCAAAATGTTTTCTAGCTCCATCCATTTTCCTGCAAAATTCAAACTGTTGTTATTTTTTCTGCTGTGTAATACTCCATTGTGTAAATGTACCACATTTTCCTTATCCTTTCTTCAATCGAGGGGCATTTAGGTTGTTTCCAGGTTCTGGCTGTGACAAAAAAAGCTGCTATGAATATTGTTGAGCACATGTCCTTGTGGCACGATTGAGCATCCTTTGGATATATACCCAAAAGAGGTATTACTGGGTCATGAGGAAGGTTGTTTCCTAATTTTCTGAGAAATCGCCACACTGACATCCAAAGTGGCTGTACCAGCTTGCATTCCCACCAGCAATGCAGGAGTGTTCCCTTTACCCCACATCCTCTCCAGCATAAGTTGTCCTCAGTGTTTTTGATCTTGGCCATTCTTACAGGTGTAAGATGGAATCTCAGAGTTGTTTTGATTTGCATTTCTCTGATGACTAAGGATGTTGAACATTTCCTTAAGTGTCTTTCAGCCATTTTAGATTCCTCTGTTGAGAGTTCTCTGTTTAGGTCTACACTCCATTTTTTTTTTTATTGGATTATTTGTTCTTTTGGTGACCAATTTCTTGAGTTCTTTGTATATTTTGGAGATCAGCCCTCTGTCTGATGTGAGGTTGGTGACGATCTTTTCCCATTCTGTAGGCTGCCGTTGTGTCTTGTTGACCATGTCCTTTGCTTTACAGAAGCTTCTCAGTTTCAGGAGGTGCCATTTGTTAATTGTTTCTCTCAGTGTCTGGCACCAGTCTATTTACCAATCTATTTCCAACCTAGGCAGCACCCTTTCCTGTCCACGTGCACACAGTGTATGCATAATTCAGAGAGGCTCCCTGACTAAGCACAAGATTGGGATGTATAATGTGGGGGTGATTATACTCCTGAACCCCAAAGCAGCTCCTGTATTCTGGATGGGTTTGCCCGTTGCCAAAGAGGAGCTTGAGGTCTAGGAGTAGGCAGTGCCATCTCCATGAGCTCGGCATGAAGTGCCTGAGCAGCCTCCGTGTGCCAGAGACTGGGGTGACTGGAGGAGACGGTGTGCACAGCTCTGGTCCCCGCTCTGGAGGAGCTGTGCACTCCATCAGTGCAATGGAGACTGTTGTTTACACACTGGAGACAACTTAGACGTACAGGATTCCAGGCTTAGAGCTTGTGAACCGCCTTCTGTGCTCTGAGTGGGTCCCTGGGTGATTGACATGCATGCTAATATTTAAAAGCATTGCTTTGAGGGGAGTGACCAGTGCTGGAGCAGCTGCTGTGTGTGTGGTCAGGCGGTGTGGAGAGGGAAGGAGCAGGGAGCCGAAGCTATCCAAGGAGCACTGGCCGCTCTTTGTCAGCGTGGGAGTGCTTTGTTGGGGCTGGCTGGTCGGGGCTTGGCATGGTCACCGGTCAGGAAAAGCCAGAGTAATGAGCGTGGAAGGAAGGCGTACATATTCCCATGTTCCCATACGCAGCCGCTAGTCAGAGCTTTCACTCGCGGGGCATAGAATAGCGATGGAGCAAATGACAGCAGCCACGTGTGTGGTTCTCAGCGTGCTCCAGGCCTGTCTACTAATTTCTACTTCTAATGCACTGATTTTGCTCTATTAACTCATTTTAATTCTCTAGGGAGTCTAGGAAGTACTGACAGTTATTCTCCAAGTTTTTTTTTTTTTTAAAGGAAATTCACACCCAGAGGTCAACTAATTTGCTCAAGGTCACATGGCTAGCCAATGTTAATTTCTCATCAAAGTCTGGTCCATTAGCCCCATAGCTATTACATTCCCTCTCTCTCTCTCTCTCTCTCTCTCTCTCTCTCTCTCTCTCTCT